TGTGCAACCGCCATCCAGTCAAGATTACTCTTTAGCTTCCCTTTGCCCCAAACACATACCAATTAGAAAATGTAAAAATGAAACCCAAAAAAGAAAAAAAGGTGAGTAGGACAAAAGTCATTAGTGAGCTTTGCTCCAAGTGACATGGAAGACCAGAGTCAGGGTCACTGCTGAACTTAAAGGCCTGAGGTCAGGGTCCCTGAATGTTTTAGGCAGTTCTCATATTGCTATAAAGAAATACCTGAGACTGGGTAATTTATAAAGAAAAGAGGTTTAATTGACTTATTAGCAAACCGAATTCAACGATACATTTATTTATTTATTTATTATTTTATTTTATTTATTTATTTTTTTGAGATGGAGTCTCGCTCTGTGGCCCGGGCTGGAGTGCAGTGGCCGGATCTCAGCTCACTGCAAGCTCCGCCTCCCGGGTTCACGCCATTCTCCTGCCTCACCCTCCCGAGCAGATGGGACTACAGGCGCCCACCACCTCACCCGGCTAGTTTTTTGTATTTTTTAGTAGAGACGGGGTTTCACGGTGTTAGCCAGGATGGTCTCGATCTCCTGACCTCGCGATCCGCCCGTCTCGGCCTCCCAAAGTGCTGGGATTACAGGCTTGAGCCACCGCGCCCGGCCTCAACGATACATTTAAAAGATGATTATGACAAAATGGCATTTACCCCAGGGATGCAAGGATGGTTCAACATATGCAAATCAATGTGATACATCACATTAACAGAATGAAGCACAAAAACCATATGATTATTTCACTTGATGATGAAAAATCATTTGATAAAATTCAATATCCCTTCATGATAAAATTCAATATCCCTCAAAGGGCCAGGCACAGTGGCTCACACCTGTAATCCCAGCACTTTGGGAGGCTGAGGTGGGCAGATTGCTTGAGCCCAAGAGTTGGAGACCAGCCTGGACAACAAGGTGAAATCCCATCTCTACGAAAAAATACAAAAGTTAGCTAGGCGTGGTGGTACACACCTGTAGTCCCAGCTACTTAGGAAACTGAGGTTGGAGGATTGCCTCAGCCTGGGAGGTCGAGGCTTCAGTGAGGAGATCATGCCACTGCATTCCAGCCTGGGCAATGAAGTAAGACCCTTTCTCAAAAAAGAATCTCAAAAAACTGGGTATAGAAGGAACTACCTCTATGTAATAAAAGCCACAGTTTGCATCATACTAAAAGAGAGAAAACCGAAAGCCTTTCCTGTAAGATCTAGAACATGACAGGGATGCCAACTTTCACCACTGTTGTTCAACATAGTGCTGGAAGTCTTAGCTAGAGAATTTCAGAGAAGAGAACAAAATAAAGAGCATTCAAATTGGAAATGAAGAGGTCAAATTATACTGGTTTGCAGATAATATGATCTTATATTTGGAAAAACCTAAAGACTCCACCAAAACATTATTAGAACTGATAAATTCAGTAAAGTTGTGCAATAAAAATCAACTTATGAAAATCAGTAGCATTTCCATATGCCAACAGTGAACAATCTAAAAAAGAATTTTAAAAGTTATCCCACTTACAATAGCTACAGATAAAATTAGATACCTAGGAATTACCTTAACCAAAGAAGTGAAAGATCTCTACAATTAAAACTTAGAACATATTATGCAAGAAATTGAAGAGGACACACAAAAATGGAAAGATATTCCATGTTCATGAATTAGAAGAATAAATATTGTTAAAATGTCCATAATACTTAAAGTAATCTACAGATTCAATACAATCCCTGTCAAAATATCAATAACATTCTGCACAGAAATTTTAAAAAATCCTAAAATTTATATGGAACCACAAAAGACCCAGAGTAGCCAAAGCTATCCTGAGCAAAAAGAACAAAACTGGAGGAATCACATTACTTGATTTCAGATAATACTACAGAGGTATAGTAACCAAAATGGCATGGTCCTGGCATAAAAATAGACCAATGGAACAGAATAGAGAATGCAGAAATAAATCCATACATCCAGAGTGAACTCATTTTTGACAAAGGTGCCCATAACATGCATTGGGGAAATGACAGTCTCTTCAGTAAATGGTGCTGGGAAAACTGGATATCCATATGCAGAATGAAACTAGACCACTATCTCTCCTCATATACAAAAATCAAATCAAAATGGATTAAAGACATATCTAACTCCTCAAACTATGAAACTAAGAAAACATTGGGGAAACTCTCCAGGACATTGAACTAGGCAAAGATTTCATGAGTAATACTCCAAAAACACAGGCAACCAAAGCAAAAATGTAAAATAGGTTCACATCAAGTTAAAAAACTTCTGCACAGCAAAAGAAACAATCGACAAAGAGGCAACCTGCAGAATGGGAGAAAATATTTGCAAACTACCATCTGACAAGGGATTAATAACAGAAACTATAAGGAGCTCAAACAACTCTAAAGGAAAAATATAATAATCCAATTTTAAAAATGAGCAAAAGATCTGAATAGACACTTCTCCAAAGATGACATATGAATGGCAGACAGGTATATGAAAAGGTGCTCAACATCATTGATCATCAGAGAAATGCAAATCAAAGCTACAATGAGATATCATCTCACTCCAATTAAAATGGTTTATATCCAAAAATGGGACAATACTAAATGCTGGATAGGATATGGAGAAAAGGGACCCTTGTACACAATTGTCGGGAATGTAAATCAGTACAACCACTATGGAGAAAGGTTTGGAGATGCCTCCAAAAACTAAAAATAGAGCGACCAAATGATCTAGCAACCCCACTGCCAGGTATATTCCTAAAAGAAAGGAAATCAGTATATCAAAGAGATATCTGCACTCCTATGCTTATTGCAGCACTATTCATAGTGGCCAAGATTTGAAAGTAACCTAAATGTTCATCAGCAGATGAATGGATAAAGAAAATGTGGTACATATACACAATGGAATACTATTCAGCCATAAAAAAGAATGAGAGTCTGTCATTTGCAACAACATGGATGGAACTGGAGGCCACTGTGTTAAGATAAGCCAGACAGAGAAAGACAAACTTTGTATGTTCTCACTTATTTGTGGGAGCTAAAACTTAAAACCACTGAACTCAGAAGCTGTTACCAGAAGCTGAAACAAATAGTGTGTTTTGGGGGGTGAAGTGAGGATGGTTAATGGATACTAAAAAAATAATTAGAATGAATAAGATCTAGTATTTGCTAGCATAATGTGGTGACTATAGTAAAAAATAATTTAACTGTACATTTTTTTAAAGTGAAAGGGTATAATTAGATTGTTTGTAACATAAAGGATAAATGCTTGAGGAGATGGATGCCTCATTTACCAGATGTGATTATTACATATTCTATGCCTGTATCAAGATCTCTCATGTACTCCACAAATACATACACCTACCATGTACCCACGAAAATAAAAACTTTCAAAAGGAACAGGTGGGTATGAATGAGAACTAACCAGAAAACTTTGAAATTAAAAATATAGTCATCAAAATTTTAAAAAATTTGTTAAATGGCATCAACACACAGCTAAAAGAAAACACACAGCTAAAAGAATTAGACATATTTACCTGGACCCCAGTGCAGACAAAACAATCAACTATATGAAAAAGTAATTAAGAAATATAAATAATAACTTGAGAGACTCCAAGAAGGCCCTAGAGGGATAGCAGCTATCGTAGGTTGAATGGCCTCCTAACGGTGTCTACACTCTCATCTGTGGAACCTAGGACTAGTGTACTACATGGCAGGAGGGAGTTGGCAGATGTAATTACGATTAAAGGCCTTAAAATAGGGGGCATTGTCTTCAATTCTACAGGTGGGCCCAATATACTCACACGAGGCCTTAAAAACAGTGATGTGGGCTGGGCGTGGTGGCTCAAGCCTGTAATCCCAGCACTTTTGGGAGGCTGAGGCGGGTGGATCACTTGAAGCCAGGAGTTGGAGACGAGCCTGGCCAATATGGCAAAACCCTGTCTCTACTAAAAATAAAAAAATTACCTGGGCATGGTGTCACACACCTATAATCCCAGCTACTTGGGAGGCTGAGGCCAGAGGATCACTTGAGCCCAGGAGGTGGAGGCTGCAGTGAGCTGAGATCATGCCACTGCACTCCAGCCTGGGCGACAGAGCAAGACTCCGTCTCCAAAAAAGAAAGAAAGAAAGAAAAAAAGCAGTGAAGTATAAGAAGGACTTCATGGGAAAAGACATAACAAGCTGACTTACTGGCTCAAAAATAGAAGGGGCAGGCTGAGAGGAATGCAAGCATCCTAGAAGGGCTGAGAGAGAGCCTATTCACAGCCAGCAACTGTTAACTGAACCTTAGCCCTACAGCTGTAGGAAACGGAATTCCTTACACCAATCTGAATGAGTGGACCCTACCCCAGATTCTCTTATCTCTAGATAAGAGCCCAGGCACTTTGATTTGGGGAGCAGAGCCCACCTACAGAGTTCTGACCTGCAGAACTATGAGATAATACCTGTGAGTTGTTCTAAACTGCTAAGGTTGGGGTGAATTTTTTTTTTTTTTTTGTAGCAACAGAAAAACAAATATAGCTGAGAAGTCAGGCGTGAAGAGATAACAGGTAAAAATTATCCAGAACTGAATCTAGGCACAAATATTCAGATAAAAAGTTTGCACCATCTAACTAAGGAAAGCAGGTTAAACATACGCAGTTATTTCAGCTCTCTCCCTCTTTCGCTCCCCTAAAATTACAATAAAGGGCTTATTTATTTATTTGACAGAGTCTTGCTCTGTCGCTCAGGCTGCAGTGCAATGGCACAATCTTTGCAACCTGCCTGCTCCTGGGCTCAAGTGACTCTCCTGCCTCAGCCTCCCGAGTGGCTGGGACCACAGGCATGCGCCACCATGCCTGGCTCATTTTTGTGTTTTTTGTAGAGATGGGGTTTCACCATGTTGCCCAAGCTAGTCTCCACCTCCTGGGCTCCAGTGATTCTCCTGCCTCAGCCTCCAAAAGTGCTGGGATTACAGGCATGAGACACCACACCCAGCCAATAAAGGAATTTTTAAGGTGCTCTTTAAAAACCATTAGGACAAAGAGATGGTAGAGGAGACAATATCAATACAATGTCGGGATTGAATAGCAGAAGGACAGCTGGAAATTGACTTAGCTCTGAAAATTTTGAATCTCATCCAGCAGTGGGAAAAGCTCAGGAGCAACCTAACTACTCTGTAGAAACCTCAAAAGGCCCAGGCGACACCAGGTAACTCTGGAAGTGGAAATGAAGTGGGGCTAAAAGCAGCAGGATTGTCTTCAGTGGAGTGTTTCCCACCGTCTTTTGCTGTAGAGAATCATGAACTGGTTCCATGCAGTTTCACCTTAGGCAGGGGTGGATGCTTTCCTTCCCCACCTTCATGATTTCTGCAGGTGCCCCAGCAGGAAGGATCCATGGCAGGCTGAGCAAACTCTGGGCACAGACAGGCATTATTCATGCCGGACATCAACAAGCTCTCTTCTGGCCGCTATCAATGTGGTCTTCTCTAGGGAGCAATAAGAAAGACAGATGACAACGCCCCTAGACACTGTGATAGAAATGCACAGGCTAACTTGTCTCCCCAGACTAACCTGTCTTCCAGCAGCTCCTTGGCATTTGCTTGCTCAGGGTGTGGGGTGTGAAAGGCAGGAATTTCCTGGGCCAGAGCTGATTCCATCAGTGCATGGCCCAGCTGATTCCATCCTGACTTACACTGATTCCATCAGTGTATCTGGTCCCTTTCCTACTTTTCCTCCTTGTATTAGTTTCCTCAAGCTGCTGTTAACAATGATCACAAATGGGCCAAGCACACTGGTTCACGCCTGGAATCCCAGCAGTTTGGGAGGCTGAGGTGGGAGGACTGCTTAAGCCCAAGAGTTCGAGACCAGCCTGGGCAATAAAATAGGAACCTGTCTCTACGAAATAAAAAAGAATTAGCCAGGCGTGGTGGCACATGCCTGTAGTCCCAGCTACTCAAGAGGCTTAGGCAGGAGGAGAGCTTGAGCCCAAGAGGTTGAGGCTGCAGTGAGCTGTGATCAAGCCACTGCACCCCATCCTGAGTGACAGAGTAAGACCTTGTCTCAGAAAAAAGAAAAAAAAAAAATCACAAACTAGGCATCTTAATGCAACAGAAACGCATCTTGTCACAGTTCTGGAGGCCAGATTCCATAATCAAAGTGTCATCAGGGCTGCACTCCCTTCCAGGCTCTGGGGGAGGAGACTTCCTTGCCTCTTCCAGCTTCTGGCGGCTATTAGCAATCCTCAGCTTGCTTGGCATGTGACCCCATCACTCTGATCTCTGCCTTTGTCTCCATGTTGCCTTCTTGTCTGTATGCCAAATCTCCTCTATATGTCTCTGGTAAGGGCACTCGTCAGTGGATTTAGGGCCCACAGGGATAATCCAGATCATCTGATTATCCTTGTAACAAGACCCTTAATTGTATCTGCAGAGATCCTTTTTCCAGGTAAAGTGACATTTGTAGGTTCCAGAGATTAGGACGTGGACATATCTCTTGGGGGACCATTGTTCAACTCAGCACACTTGCCTAGGTCTTGATATTCTTATTTAGTCAGGGGGAGCAGGAAGACAAAACCCTTACACTTGCATAAAGGTTTTTCATCTTTTGTTTTCTTCTCTCCTTCCCTTCTTTCTGCACCTCTCTTCTTCTCTCCTTTCCCTCCCTCCCTTCCTTCCTTCCTTCCTTCCTTCCTTCCTTCCTTCCTTCCTTCCTTCCTTCCTTCTTTCCTTCCTTCTTCCTTCCTGTTCTTCATTTTTCCCTCCCTCCTCTCTTGCTTTTTCATTTCACTTAAAAGCTAAGAATTTCCCATCTTTGTTTATCTGTTTAGTTTGTGGCTAGGATTGGAGAAAGGATGGAAAGGCTGTCCAAGTACAAGGGAAAGAATTCAGTGAGGTGTAAAAGCATTACTTTGCTACCGCTGTGCATTGAAATGGAGTACTGTGACAAAATATGAAATATTGTCTTATTCGAAGTGAAATTACAAGACTGGCCAGTAAGACAAATATCACATATTATCAAATACATATTTTTATACACAAGTCACATTCTGAGTGACTAGATGCCCACTTCCAAGAGGCACAAAGAAATTGCAACTGATTAAATAGCAGAATCACATCTTCTGCCACAATTTCACTGGTGGGCATAAAGTTAAAAAGTAGGCAAAGGACAGGGTTCAGTGGCTCACACCTGTAATCCCAGTACTTTGGGAAGCCGAGGCAGGCAGATCACTTGAGGTCAGGAGTTCAAGACCAGCCTGGCTAACATGGTGAAACCCCATCTCTAATAAAAATACAAAATAATTAGCTGGGCATGGTGGTGCATGCCTGTGAACCCAGCTACCTGGGAAGGGAAGCTGAGGTGGGAGGATTGTTGGAACAGAAGGTGAAAGTTGCAGTGAACCGAGATTGCGCCACTGCCCCTCAACCTGGGCAACAGAGCAAGACACTGACAAAAAAAAAAAAAAAAAAAAGAAGACAAAGATTCCCAAATTATTCAAATTATGTTTTTCCTGTCTTCTCATTTTTATGTTTCTCAGCTGGGAGCATTTTGTTGAACTTGTGTAAGTAAATGCTTATGTGATAGAACTCCATTATATATTGTGATGGATTGACTTGTGTCTGCCCCAAAATTAATAGGTTAATGTTCTATCTCTAAATACCTCAAAATATCACCTCATTTGGAAATAAGGTCATTGCAGATTTATTTGTTAAGATGAGGTCATACTGGAGTAGAGTGGGCTTCTAATCCAATATGACTGGTATCCTTACAAAAAGAACACCATGTGAAGAGATAGAGAGAAGATCATACAAACACAGGGAGAATGTCATCTACTAGGAATGCCAACATTGCCAGCAAACCACCAGAAGCCAAGAGAAAGGCATGGAACAGATTCTCCCTCACAGCCCTCAGAAAGAATCAACCTTGATAACCTCAAGCCTCCAGAAATGTATTGTGAAACAAATGTATTGTGAAACAATACATTTCTGTTGGTTAAGCCGCCCTGGCAATCTGACACATATATGTTTAAGTACCAGTTAAGGCCACAGAATAAATATCTTAGGAATTCAGAAAAGAAAAAAATGCTCTGAAGACCTTCAGAGGAAGGTCTGATATGAAGACCTCAGCATAAAAGTGAGCTACTTCTCAGTTTTATGGAGTAGATAAGACTTGGAGTTGGACCTTGAAATGACTAGAACTTGGATGCATAAAGAAGAAGCAGCAAGAGATGTGGGGATGGAAGAAAGGGAGGAGAGGAGATAACAGGATGGGAAAATTGATGGGGAAGAATGTTTTTCTCAATAATAAATACAGCCATCTGATGGGGCCAGGGACAAGAAGAATGGCATAGAAAATGACAAGACTGGAAATAAAAAGTGAAGTCAGATGACTAAAGGACCCACCAAATATTAGATTTCAGAGCTTGAATTTTATCCAATATGTAATGGAGAATTATTGACCTTTTAAAGCTGGAAAAATCACATGATGAAATTAGTTTGCGGGAAATAGATCTGGGTAGTAGAAGGATGGAATGGTGAATGGTGACTGGTGCAGAAAACAATGTGGTCTAGGACAAGAGTCAGAAGATTGTTTTAATAACATGATAAAGGTCTGAAGGAAATGTGTGAAATATTACAAAGGAAGAATGGACAGGGCTTAGTGAGGGAAGGGCCTCTGTGAGTGGAGGAGGGGAAGGAATCCAGATAAACATCAAGGTTTTGAGTTTCAGAGACTGAAGACCCTGAGATGGCATAATCAGGAAGCCATCTTGGTGTGGCAGAGGGACTGGAAAGGGACAGGGGACCAATAGTAAGTTTGGTTTGTGATATAAGGGGCTGAAAGTAATATAACAGCAATGTCTGGGATATAGTTGGGTGTGTGCACATAATATGTAAGAGAAACTTAACAGAGAGAAATTGAAGTTCCTTTTTTTTAGGTTTCTTCTTTGTATTTTTAAGACAGAGTCTGTGTATTTGGATGTTGTTTACTGTAGTCACCGATGATCCTGCTTCTCCCACTAGACTGTGAGCTCTTTAAGGGGTGAAACAGCTTCTTTGTACCCATAACCCAAGCAGACTATCTTGTTCTTAATAGGAGATCAGGAAATGTGAATTGAATTGAATCGTGCTGCACTGAAGTGAATGAATCAAGCCTTCTGACACCAAGCCCAGCATTCTCTCCAGTATAACACAGTTGCTTCCCTGTAGTGACTAGGCCAGAGATGGATCTAAAATGTCAATGTTACTGCCAGCTAATTCAGGGTCTTTTATTTAAGCAGCAGGGACTCAATTTCCCTATTCCACAGGTGTATGGTTTGACTGGCAACTTGATTACTTGTCAGGTAAAGATAATGGTTACAATAGTTCCAGCCTGTCTGGAGCCTTGTAGTGGAGCCTCTGTAGTACCTTGGCTACAAAAGAAACTCAAGCTGTGTAAATGATCAGATGTTATGAAAAGCTATTCTTTAGTAGCAGAGACACTGGAAAATTGTTCAAGAAAGGGTCCCTTTTAAAAGCAGAGTGCTGAAGCATCTTGATGATGTAGCAGTTTGTGTGTCTACAATGACATCAGACATTTTCATTTCATAATGATAGCACAAGGAATTATACCTTTTAATCACTTTTTGGTGTTAGTAAGAAATAGAGATAGAGATTCACGGCCTCTGTATGAATGAAAGACTTGATAAACACTGCTATATTAAAAACAACAGACTGGGCATGGTGTCTTAGACATGTAATATCAGCATTTTGGGAGGCCGAGACAGGTTGATTGCTTGAGCCCCGAGATAAGCCTGGGCAACATAGAGAGATTCCATCCCTACGTTAAATACAAAAATTAATTAGGTTGGTGCAAAAGTAATTGCTGTTTTGCTATTTTAATGGCAAAAATCGCAATTACTTTTGCACCAATCTAAGAGCTGTGCGCAGCTTCTTGGGAGGCTGAGGGGGGAGGATCACCTGACCCTGGGGAGGTTGAGGCTACAGTGAGCCAGGATTGTGCCACTGTGCTTCAGCCTGGGCAATAGAGTGTGACCCTATGTAAAAAAAATAAAATCAATAATAAAATTAGAACAACAAATCTGCTTCACGTCAAAAGGTCTATGATCAAAAGACAAAGAATAAACCAGGAAAATATTTACAACTAATATCATAAACCTAATATAGAAAGAGATCCTATAAATTGACAGTAAAATGACTAACAAATAGTAGAACAAATTAGAAAAATAATTTAACAGGCACAAGTATGAAAATATAATTTGCCAAATGGTTCTCTACCATAAGAAGAGACTCAAACTCACTGGACATAAGAGGCATATAAATGAAAACTAAGTGAGATGTGAAGGGTGAGTAGGTAGCCAAGTGAAAGAAGGATGGAGACAGACAAGAAGCTAAGAGACTAATAAACGAATCATAGCCATTGTGTATTACTGGGTTCTAGTGAGTGCTGCTTTACACAATTCATGTTTTACAAGCACCATTTCATTTAATCTCCATAATAAGCCTAAAAGTAGGAAGTATTGGTTTCACAAGGTTACAGATGGGATTAAGTAATTTACCAAAAATCACAAAGTAAATCATAGAGCCTTGACTTGAGCTCTGGAAGTTAAAACAACTCTGAGAATATAGCAGATTGCCAAGAAACGGAGCTCCATAGGACAATGACCAAAAATGAAAATGTTCAGACAAAGATCAATTAAACTTTGTGGAGACAGAGAGTTGCCAGAGTCCTAAAAGTTCAATTAGACCAACCTCCAACATAGAACACAGACCTCCTCTGCAACCTCTCCAACAGATGGCCATCCCAGCTGCCACCTAAACACATCCAATGACAAAAGAGAGCTCTCTACTTGTTAAAGCAGCTCATTGCATTGCTGAACATCTTTGTTGGAAAAATTCTTCTTTATATGAAGCCAAAATCTGTCTCTCCATAAGTATGAGCAATTTGTTCCAAGCAATCAAAAGAAAATGAATTTTTTCTCTTATGCATGTGATAATTCTTCAGAATAAACCCAGATCCTTCCATTTTTGCTCACTTGACATGGTCTCCAAGCCCATCCCTTATCTGGCTAACTCCTCTGGAGTAGAAACACTCTAGTTTCTCAGTTTTCTTATTAAAATGTATTCTCAGAAATGATTGTGTTAGATTATGGCTGAGTATTGAGATATACTTATTTCTTTTAATATGCCTGCACAGCACACTCAATGTATATCAGTCTATTACTGCAATTGCCCAATGGGTTCTTCCTGTTCACTGCACAGGCAAAACCAATTCACTGAGACCAGGGTATTGCAGTAAAGAAAGAGTTTACATAATGCAAGGCAGCTGAGTGAAGGACTGCAGTTATCACTCAAATCAGTCTCTCTCTCAGAGAACTTAGAGGCTAGGATTTTTATGGAAAATTTCATGGGCAAGGGCCTAGGGAATTGGTGCTGCTGATTGGTTGGGGACAAAGTCATAGGGGTGTGGAAACAGTCCTCATGTGCTGATTCTGCCTCTGATTGGGGGCCACAAGACCAGCTGAGTAATAATTCATGGGTCTGAGTGGGGTCATTTGGTTTGCAGAATGCAAAAGTCTGAGAAGTATCTCAAAAGACCAATCTTAGGCTCTATCATAGTGATGTTATCTATAGGAGCAAATGGGGAAGTGACAAACCTTCTGACCTCTGGCCACGTGACTCCTGAGCAGTAAAGGATTATAGAAACTATGTCTATACTTTAGCAGAATGTAGGCCCTTCCCAAAATTCTAATCTTGTGGCCTTTCATTAGTCTTACAAAGGCAGTTTCAGCCCCCCAACAAGGAGGGAATCAGTTTTAGAGGGGACTATTATCATCCTTGTTTCATAGTTAAGCTGTAAACTAAATTCATCGCATGGTTAGCCTCACCTATGCCCAGGAGTGAGTGAGTACAGCTAGCCCGTAAGTCTGGAAGCAAGATAGAGTCAGCCATGCTAAATTTCTCTTGCTGTCATAGTCATTGTAAGGGCAGTTTCAGTATTACATTAACCTTTTTAGCATGAGAATCACATATGTTCCAGTGAAGAACTGTTACTGGAAAGGGGTCCCGATCAAAACCCCAAGAGAGGGTTCTTGGGTCTCACGCAAGAAAGAATTCAGGGTGAGTCCATAGAGTAAAGTGAAGTCAAGTTTATTAAGAAAGTAGAGGAATAAAAGAATGGCTACTCCATAGGCAGAGCAGGCCCAAGGGCTGCTGGTTGCCCATTTTTCTGGTTATTTCTTGATTATATGCTAAACAAGGGGTGGATTATTCATGCCTCCCCTTTTTAAATCATGTAGGATAACTTCCTGATGTTGCTGTGGCATTTGTAAACTGTCATGACACTGGTGGGAGTGTAGCAGTGAGGACGACAACCAGAGGTCACTCTTGTGGTCATTTTGGTTTTGGTGGTTTTTGGCTGGCTTCTTTACTGCAACCTGTTTTATCAGCAAGGTCTTTATGACCTGTATCTTCTGCTGACCTCCTGTCTCATCCTGTGACTTACATGCCTGAACCATCTGGGAATGCAGGCCAGTAGGTTTCAGCCTCATTTTACCCAGTTCCTATTTAAGATAGAGTTGCTCTGGTTCACAAACCTCTGACAGAACCATGCACAGTCCTCTTTCAATGGCTGATAGGTTTTTAATACCTGTATTTATTTATGTTATCCTGAATGCAAATATAAAGTTTCTGGATCAAAGTTATTATAATTCATGTCAAAAACTATCCATTCCCTTGCCCCAACCCCCTAGAGTGATATGATGAAAGCCAGATGTCATCTTATATGTACTAGGTTCTATACTGCAGGAGAGAAAGCGCCCCCTCAAAATTATGAATCTGAGAGCTTATATATGAGAGGGTCAGCTTTCTCTTTTCCCCTTCTGAGAAAGGGAGAGAAACCTTTGCTTTCTAGTGTACACCAATTTTCCTGGGGAAGAAAAGGGAAAGGTCTGGGCTTCTTACCTTTTGGAATGCAAATAAGTGTCTCGTGGGAAGATAAGAGAAGTTTCTCCTGGTTTACAACTCTTGGGATGTTTTCTTGGTTGCAGGTTTTACCCCCTCCCACCCTGCTCCTCTGAAGTGTAAACACAGACCTCTGGGGAGACAAATCTCTCTAGAGTTATCTCATTACCTATTCAGTCATAGTCATAATTTAATTTCTAAGCCTTGTTCTTTAATCTGGACTCCAGAAAAACTTGCTCAGAAAGTCCTAACTGTGCGGAAACATGAAAATACTCACTTGTTGACTTGGGCTTGATACTGGTCTATTTCCTAGGTCCAGAGTGACTTGCCCACTTGTTTCCTGTCTCTCTCTCTCATCTCACTCTCTCTCTCTTTCTCTCTCTCTCTCTCACTCTCTCTCTCTCTCAAGGGAGGGGGATCCCCAAAGAACCCACAGCAAAAAAGACAGAGTCAGGTTTAAACACCTGGTAGGGCCAGAGGGCAGAGGCTGGATCATAGCAATACTGGTCAAGTGAGAGCTCTCCTTCTCTCTTTCCCTCCATCAGTAATTCAGGGAGGGGAAGAATGGAAGTGGACATGATGAGAGTAAAGAACGTGACCGTGACCACCTCCCTTTTCTTCTCTGCTGGCAGCAGTCCCGAGCTGGAGAAGGATGAAAATATTGATTATAAGCTGTGTTTAAAGATTTGGTTATAAAATGGAACTAGATATTTTAATTACTGATAAAGGACTTGCTTTACAACAGAGAGACCAGAAAAGTCATGGATTTTGCCTGAGTTATTATCCAGGAGCAAGGGGAAGAATTGAATGTGAGGATATAAAATTTATGTTTTGAGCCATTCTGAGTGAAACAATACTTGTCAAAGGCGTTCGAAGCAGAGCAACCCCATCTTGAACAGGGATTGAGTAAAATAAGGCTGAGACCTACTGGGCTGCATTCACAGGAGGCTGGGTATTCTACGTCACAGGGTGAGACGGGAGGTTGGCACAAGATACAGGTCACAAAGACCCTGCTGACACAATAGTTTGCGGTAAAGAAGCCCACTGAATCCCACCAAAACCAAGATAGCAATGAGAATGACCTCTGATGATCTTTACTGCTCATCATACGCTAATTAGAATACATTAGCATGCTAAAAGACATTCTCACCAGCATCATGACAGTTTATAAATGCCATGGCAATGTTAGGAAGTCATCCCATATGGTCTGAAAAGGGGAGGAACCCTTGGTTCCAGGAGTTGCCTACCCTTTTCCTGGAAAACTGATGAATAATCCACCCCTTGTTTACCATATGATCAAGAAGGAACTAACAATAAGTACAAGCAGCTGAGCAGTCCATGGTGCTGCTCTGCCTATGGAGTAGCCATTCTTTATTCCTTTACTTTCTTAATAAAACTTGCTTTTGCTTTACTCTATGGATTTGCCTCAAATTCTTTCTTGCATGAGATCCAAGAACCCTTTCTTGGGTCTGGATTGGGACCCCTTTCCAGTAACATGCTATCTAAACCTTGCACATAAATAGAGTATATTTATTTTTCTTCTTAAGGGAAAAATGCATCGGAAGAGGAATATTCTGATACACAGACAGGGCCTGTTTCACCTCTCTTTCTAATACTCCAAAATTGGATGCTAACAAACAGAACTTTCAGAAATATTCTCTACAGATGCCTGAAGCATCCAGGAGGTAGTACAGATGTATTAAAATATTCAAGAAGAGTTGGATAAATCAATGGATGCCAAATAGAGAATGGGATTTTCAGAGAATCTGGTCATACTTCAAGGAATGCTCTTAATTTTCCACTTGACAAAATGGGATCAACCACGCTCCCTTGCTCCAACCCTCAGCGAATGTGCAGAAGTTTCACTGGGAAGACCAGATCCCAGGCTGGGTGCTCCATGGGTCTGATCCAATACAGCAATTACTTTTGCAGCCTAGAGGTCCCATAGCACCCTATGCTTCTTTTCATAGCATTTAACAATCTGTATTGTCATTGATTTTTAAATTTATTTAGCAGGACTGTGAATTCAACTCACATAGCATCTCAGGAGTATGGAGACATTGTATAGTCCCTTTGTTAATGAGTCCAGCCTTCTTCCTTGAATCCCACCTGCTGGTGAGGAGTAAAAACAATTAACTTTTAAATCCTTACTTGTTTAAACTTAATCTGATCTACTCACTTAGAAATCCCTTAAGTGAAGTTAGTCTGTGTAGGAAAAGAAAAGTTCAGCTGTCAGATTTCTCACCTTTTCAGCCCCAAGATGTTGACTAGGTATTTTGTATGTGGGGAGGAATGGGGTTGCCTGACCCGGAGGTCTTGGGAACAGTGTCCTCCACCTTGTCGACTGTTATCCCCCGGTAGCTCTCAACATGGCTGGCAATGCAGCTGATGTCTGGGGCTGGAGTGATTCCTTATCAACTCTCTCTGATGATCCTCTCTGACTCCCTCGGCTTCCCCTGGGGCCTCCCTGCAGGACACCTCTGACTTCTGACTGTGACTCCCGTTTAGTCCTGGCCAACCTGGTAGTCCTTCACCCGCCTCACCTGCACTATGGATCCCAGCCAGATTCTCATAGACTTCTGGGTCACAGGGCCCCCTGTGGAAACTTTAGAAGACTCTAAAGTTAAACCTCATAACCTCCCCCTACTTGGCCATGCTGGCCCCACTAGAGTTGAGATGAGGTAGCCTGCAGTAAAGTCTCTTCTCAGTGTCTCAGATGGGGAGCTGGGGAGAACGATGCCCTTTTATCCTTGGTGTTTCCCCCAGTCACCTCTTGCACAGTCAGGACACACATCTGACTGCGTTGCTTCTTTGTCTCCGTCCCTGGCTCTGTCTGTCTCTCCTTTTCCTTCCCCCAATTCTGGGACAGAAGAGGAAAGACTTCCTTCCTTCTCTTCCTCTGTAACCTGTCACCCTTCTACTTAGAGGAGCTAAACCCATGGCCCTGCTGCTCTCCCTGTAACAGGAGGGTGTCTTCTCTGCAGTATGAGAGAATGCTCTGAGCTAAGTCTCCAGGCTCAGTGCGATGGTTAATTTTATGTGTTGACTTGACTGGGCTGAGAATGCCCGGATAGCTGGTGAAACATTATTTCCGGGTGTGTCTGTGAGGGTGTTTCTGGAAGAGAGTAGCATTTGAATAGGTAGACAAGATCTACCCTCACTAATATGGGTGTCATCACCCAATCCATTGAGGGCCTGAATAGAATGAAAAGGTTGAGGAAGGGCAAATCCTCTCTCTACTTGAGCTGGGACGTTCATCTTCTTCTGCCCTTCGCATTGAAGTGCCTAGTTCTGGGGCCTTCAGACTCAGACTGAATCACACCACCAGCTTTCCTGGTTTTCTAGCTTGCAGATGGCAGATGGCGGGACTTCTGGGCCTCCATAATTACATGAGCCAATTCTCATATGTATCTATAGTGTGTACAATATATGTGGGAAATATATTAATGTAAGTATACATATGAGAGGGGTGTGTGTGTGTGTGTGTGTATCCTATTGGTTCCATTCCTCTGGAGAACCTTGATTAATACACTTGGTTTCTAATAGATAGGGGATGAAGGTTAATAAAATAATTTGAAAAGTCCTCTCCTAATACAATAGCTTGAGGCCAGGTGCAGTGGCTCACCCCTGTAATTCCAGCACTTTGGGAGGTCAAGGTGGAAGGATCACTTAAGCCCAGAAGTTCAAGACAAACCTGGGCAACTTAGTGAGACCTCATATCTACCCCTCCTCAAAAAAAACACAAAAAATTAGCTGGGCATGGTGGCACATTCCTGTAGTTCCCACTAGTCAGGAGGCTGAGGATCCACTGAGCCCAGGAGGTTGAGGCTTCAGTGAGCCATTATTCTGTCATTTTACTCCAGCCTGGGTGACAGAGTGAGACGCTGTCTAAAAAAAAAGAAAAAAGAAAAAAAAATTATAGTAGCCTGGTTTTTAAGGCCACTGTTTGGTTGCACAATTTTATTTTGAAGATCAGAAATTGAATATTAATTCTGTCTCTTTGCATTGCATGTAAATTGCTTAAAAGAGTGACGGGGACACAGTAAGTGACAAATGTTGTTACTGTATAACAAATTAGTTAATCTCCTTCTGAGGCTGGTTAGTGTCTTGGGCCCACTAAGAAAAATATGTTTCAGCAAAAGCAAAAGAGAAAAATCATATTAATAATTTCTGAGATATCAACCTCATTAGTATTTACATTTTACCATATTTCAAAATTATCAACTCATATATGCTAGGAGAGAAATTCAAACAATATACAAGTGTCGTGATTGCAAAGTAAAAGTCCTTGCTTAACTTTGTGATTTTTATTTTTTGAGATAGAGTCTCGCTCTGTTGCCCAGGCTGAAGTGCAGTGGTGGGATCTCGGCTTGCTGCAACCTCTGCCTCCTAGGCTCAAGCGATTTTTATGCCTCAGCCTCCCGAGTAGCTGGGATTACAGGCATGCACCACCACACCTCGCTAATTTTTGCATTGTTAGTAGAGATGGGGTTTCGCCATGTTGGCCAGGCTGGTCTTGAACTCCTGACCTCAAGTGATCAGCCTGCCTCAGCCTCCCAAAGTGCTAGGATTACAGGTGTGAGCCACCATGCTTGGCCCCTCACTTAACTTTGAACATTTTCCCTTTTCTGGCCCCCATTTTACTCTTTTCCTTAAAGATGAAGACTAAATATTTTGGTTGAATTTTTTCACTCATCCATCTCCTCCATTACACTATGAATTTTTGAAGTAAGTAACCTAAAGAGGTAGTTCCATAAGCCATCAATAAATGTTTGATGAATGAATAAATTATTGAATAGTTACTGGACACAATTATCAAGTAATACAGAGTAAATTAAGTATCTTTTAAAAAAAATGCTGTTATATAAACTTGCTGGGATGCCTAGTTATTTTTTTAGCTTTCTTGATAGGATTATATCTGATTAAAATTGTTTAAATAGAACAGAGATTAAATTGTGAGGGTTTATTTTTAATTTTATTTATTTATTTATTTTAGGGGATAGGGTCTTGCTCTGTCACCCAGGCTGGCGTGCAGTGGCACAATCACAGCTCATTGCAGCCTTGATTTCTCCAGCTCAAGTGTTCCTCCCACCTCAGCTTCTTGAGTAGCTGGGACC